AGGATGTGAAAAAAAATATGTATGTATTTTATATTCAAAGTATTTCTACTCACTCAAAGTGTTTGTTTTCTGCGTAAGTGTGCCATTCTTGCGTGTCGTGTTGAGACTTTTTTCCACATCTTACATGTATTTGTTAAATTTAAACAATGTTTAAATCCCAGGCCCTGAAGATGATCTCAATAAAGATCGAAACGTTGGCACGATAAAGAAAATGTTTTTCTGAAACCTACATCACACCAGTGTTGGGCAAAAATTAGTCATGTCTAATGATTAATGATTGATCACTCAGACCGTTAGTTATGATTGGTAGTAAGTGACTAAATTAGTCATTAGTCGCCATATGTGAGTGATGGCTAAATTAGTCATGACTAGTAATTAAATACGAGTCATGACTAAATTTCGATAAATCATGTTCAAATGGGTGCCCAAAAACTGAAAATACACAACTTCATCACTTTTAAAAAAATTTCTAACAGAAATTTATTTCATCAAAACGAAAATCCTTCAACACCTTATTTAACAAAAATCTATCTTCCAATTATAAGTAAAACTCCATCGTTATAAAAAGCCAAATAATAATAATAATAATACAATTAAATTAAATAATCCTAGAACAAGCTACGCTTTGAAAAGTAAATATGTTTACATAACCGATCAATGGAAAAAATATTTGTTTGAATTAAAATTTATTCCAGTTAAAAGGAGAGATTTCTACATTATTTGGAAAATACACCATCTAGGGGGTCTTGATTGTAATAAAATAGACATGTAGAATAATTATGTAACTTTGGTTTTCCTTTATGATAACAATTTTTGAAGGTTGGCCTTGAGCACGACTCTCATCTCAAAATTTTTATCCGGAGTCGGTTGGATTTTGGTAAGTTGGTCATTGTAGCCAGAGTTGGGCAAAATCAAACTAATTCAATCATGATTAAGAATTTTGATTGAAGTTTAATCATGATTGAATTAGTCATGAGTAAATTAATCATTATATGATTTAATCATAATTAATTCAATCATGAGGTATGACTAAATCATATAATTCAATCATGATTAAACTTCAATCAAAATTCTTAATCATGATTGAATTAGTTTGATTTTGCCCAACTCTGCATCACACCAGACCGCATCTCACGATTTCTAAATAATCATCGACTAACGGTCACTAAACACCACACATTATGCTGTATTAGTTGTTTTAAAAATACTATATTGTGCAATATAGTATAATTTAACCCTTTAATTTTGTTATTTTTCAAAATCACTTAATTAAATTTTCCTTAAGTAAAAAACATAATAATTTCTAATAAATTTTACTGTAATTGATAATAAAAATAAATAAAAAAGGAAAAGTAAATATTACAAAATTGGCAATATCCATATTCATTTTTGACCAGTTTATTAAAACTCTATGGTGCCTGAAATGTTGAATATAAAATGATTATTGTTTTGAATGATTGCAAGCAAGACTTTTTACAAGCAAATTTCGCTGAATGTTGTTTGACGATTTCCGAATCAAAATATGTACATTTAGGGAAAGCCTAAGCCATTATTCATGGCAATACTTCGAGACAAATTGAAAAGGGGAATCGGGTGCGAGAAACAAACAACTCCAACTTGGAAGGGTGTAAATCCATATTATAGATCTATCGTCGCACACCCCCGTGATATTATTTTCCTTGTTCGCCGAAAGGTGGATTGAATAGGCGGTGCCACTAACCGAGTAGTTGGTGGATATGGCGATAACGTCATCCCGTTTTATATTCATGAGAAGCCGCGGGGGCGAATTTCCTTTCGTCGTGGGACGGGTCGCCGCGGAAAAGCGTCGGGGGGTGTAAACAAGGAAGCGGACCCGCCTCGGGGGAAGACCTGTCATACATCAATGTCATCAAGGATTGATGGAGAGCCGAGTGCAAATATAACGATGCTCCTCCATCCATCCGCCTCCGCCTCCTGTCTTTGCAGATTCATCTTCGTTTTTACTGTGAGACCCTCCATATTTACCCGACTAATGCTCATCACCTGGTTTATTTAGGAAGGAATGACGAATACCACTTCGACGTTCGGTTATAAATTGCGGAAAAAGCACGACCTTCGATACTTTACAATCACTGTAAAATATAAAACAATTAAGGGAAATCGATCGAATTCGTTGCGGACAATTAACCTCGAAACGTCACGACTCTCTTTCATCTGTCCTATCGACCCGGAGCGACGGATATGATCCGATTACACTTGAAATCTCACCGCATCGGTCCGAATAGCACGAAATGCCACATGCAGAAAGGACTGTTGCAGATTAGCGGGCGTGAGTTCATTTCCAGCCATTAATTCTATAATCCGCCCGTTAATAAGCAAATTTCGAAAACAGGCGTAAAAAGAAATGTTTTTGTATTTTATATAAAACATATAAAGGAAAAATAGGTTTTCTCTGAAAATGATTGATCACCGTTAAACGTCAAGGTTGTAGAAGCTATCCCCAGGCTATAATTCAAACTGTTGAAAAAAAAACCTAAATAACAAAATCCCAATTATAAATTTAAATAGTATATTTAACAAAAAGAACTTAAAGAAACTTCTCATCCCCCCAAAAAATATACATTAAGAAGATATGAATCCGCGATAAAAGAGGCAATTCAAAAATTAAGGTAAAAGAATAAAAAAGTTCGGCGTGAAATGGCGAGTGGTTGGAAGAGGAGATATAATCCACTCAGAATCCGTTAATCCTTAAATATAAATAAATTATTCCAGGGCTTTCTCTCGCTAACCGAAATCGACGTTTTTAATAAAACAATTCCCCCACCGGTTTTGATCGTTAAGCGGAATTTCATTTTAACCTATTTCTCACTCCTTTGCCACTTCGGCCCCTGTGTATAATTAATTGTAAATCTCAAAAAGCTCGCAAAAGGGGTCCGGCTAAAATAGAAGAACGAGGATCGATAGAAACTTTAATATTCCCTGCGGCAGTGGGAAAAAGAGAGCGGTAGGAAAGAAAAAAAAAGAAGAAAAGTCTTCTTGATACTTTTCCTCTCGTCTCTACTGCGATCTTTTTAATATAATCCGCGTGGGATTAAAGCGGCCGACGGACATCCATAATACATCATCTGGGAGACGAGGCGTTAAAACAGGGGGTAATTAGCAATAGGAGCAAATGTCTTGCTAAGCGAATCCTCCCCCTCGAACCAACCCTTCCGGTGATTGATAGCTCCCTTGGCAAATATCTTACTTATATCCGTTTCTCTTAAACCCCAGGTGGATTGCGAAGGTTAAAATGGCCAAGGACCCACGCCTCCCATTCATTTTACTTAGTGCCATCAATTTCCGAATCGACTCTCATTTCGAAGTCAAATTAACACCCTCCGCCTTTTTCCTTCCTTCTTCGGAATATTCTTTACTCTGAGATAACAACATTAGCAATCTACTTTTCTTAATGTACTATCTTATCTGGTATAGGCATGGAACTAGTTAACAATGATGAAAAGTTCTTCTTTAGTTTTTAATGTCTTTTGTGATGGTCTGGGTAGAAGTTGGTCGTTCTCAATCGATGAAAAACCAAAAGGAGACCATAAGCATACCATGATCGAAGGCGATTGTATTAGTTTTTGTAAAAGTGTACGAGGTCAGCAAGTTAATACACTTGTGTTTTGATTTATCTGATGAGTAGAAACCAAGCCATCAATGATACACAGTAGATTTGCCAAATTGATTCGTTTTGGGGTGTTTTCAATTAGTGAAATACCATAACAGAGGGCAGCCAAATTGCATCTGGGGTGTTTTCAATTAGTGAAATACCATAACAGAGGGCAGCAAAATTGCATCGTTTTGGGGTGTTTTCAATTAGTGAAATACCATAACAGAGGGCAGCCAAATTGCATCGTTTTGGGGTATTTTCAATTAGTGAAATACCATAACAGAGGGCAGCCAAATTGCATCGTTTTGGGGTGTTTTCAATTAGTGAAATACCATAACAGAGGGCAGCCAAATTGCATCGTTTTGGGGTGTTTTCAATTAGTGAAAGACCATAACAGAGGACAGCTAAATTGCATCGATTTGGGGTGTTTTCAATTAGTAATAGACCACTATAGCGAAAATGTGCGAATATCTTCGGGGTGATATTTGTAGTTAGCAACTCATAAAAAGAGACTAAACCAGCAAGATAAGCGAAACAGAATATTCGAACACGATCAATCTACTTTCTCCTTAATTCCGACATTCTTTGTCAAAGTCTACTTGTACTTGTAGTTTGGGCTTAGTAGACCCCAAAGACAACTAAACGTCTCTAAAATTTTGGGACGTAGGGATTTTCCCCCTTTACCACTTAAACTGCCGTATATTAGAACGGTTACCACAAGGTACCATAGCCTTTTCTTAGCAATTAACGGTAGTTGGATAGGATGTGTTCTGTTGTCTCTGTCTCTTTTGGACCGTTTATTATTTATTTCGTGTGTAGATGTTTCTATGGCTAAGAGATCGGGTTTTAGATGTTTGTGGTGTGGCCGAGAGCCATTTGGTGCTCAAGTTAGGCCATTTTATGCATATACCCCTACTAAATTCCCATTTCCGAGCTATCTGTATAGTTAGAAGAGCTCCATATTTATATTTTTAATAAACATCTGATCAGTAAAAGTCCAAACCAGAGAAAATTTCATTATGTCCGTATTGTATTGGCTGAATTATACGAACCCGTTACAGAAAAGAAGAACTTGTTTTGATCTAAAATTATAGATTATGTTTTTAAGCTTTTACTGGGGGCGTCGGTGGCCGCAGCGGTTTAGGCGTTGACACGGCGCTCAACACTGTAAGGTAAAGGTCCCAGGTTCGAATCCAGCGGCCCTGAATTCGAACCCGACATACTTATAAATGGGCTTTTGTTCAAAAACACCGGCACCCTAAGGGTTGATATGACCTCTGCAAAAAAAAAAAAAAAGTTATGCTCTGCTTTATTTATGAGCGTTAATTTTATTTATGCGAATCACTAAAAATTTGTTTGTTTGTTTCAGGTGGAGTGCAAGAAAGCACAGCCAAAGGAAGTGATGCTACCGGCGAACTTGGCCAAGACCAGGGCGTCAGGTCGGGGAGCATACGGTGAGTTAGTAGTGTCAGGTCGGAGTCCGGTCCGCTACACGCCGTACCCGGTACCCGTGTACCCGGCAGCTCCGGCCATCTACCCGGTCCCGAAACGTCTTCTCCTCCGTCCTCAACCGCCCCCGCTAGCCTATACCATGACAGAACTGTTACCGCTCCCGACGGCCATCGACCTGGCCACTGTCTTCCCATCCATACCACAGGCGATCGCTCTCTGAAACCCCTCCGTCACGTACACGAGTTGCCTTCAGCAGCCAATTCCACCACGCTCTTTTCGCCTAGTCAAGCCACCTTGAAATTGAATTTCAAATTCAAACCGAAATTTGTCAATTGTAGGCCTCTTTTTTCTTACTAGTCGTTCCGAAGTCCATTGTCAAGACTGATTCGTTAGCTCTTGTAGTCGGTTTCAGGTGGAGTCCATTGTAGTTCCTAATAACATCCCATTCCCCCCTCTTTTAATTATTATAATTATTTAAAAAATCCAATCACTACCAACCTAAATTCTTAGCAGAATATTTTCCAACTTTATACTTTTCTGGCTTTGGAGAGCTTACACACCTTCCATTCTTTCTAAGGAAATAATCATTTGCACTGATGGAAAGTCGCAAGCACACTATTGCTGAATTCACCTCAGATACTTCTTGTAAATATTTTTCTTCCTATTTAAGGTCCTAACATAATTTATTCATCCTACAAGAACATAAGTATGCGAGATAAGATATAAAGCGTTCAAATCTTCGTTTAATATCTTCAAAATGGAAAATCTTTAATTAAAAACCTAAGTTGGTTTAATATACCTAAAAAGATGATTATATTTTTCAATATTTTTGTTGATACAAGAGATCTGTTTGATTTAAAAAAAAAACAGTAATGCGATATAGATTTGGACTTATTTATTACCAAAATTGGACAAATATTATTTCCTACGTGGTAAATACCTTGGAAAAATGTTTCTTTCGCTTAGAAGATTGATCTCTATGGCAATCAAGTTCCAAGATCATTTTTTTCACTTCACACTTTCTGCATATTGTGTCTTAAAAGTACGCAGTCTAATTATGATATTGTGTTAACTTTTAAATATTTTTAATTTATGCTCTAATATGTGGTAGTTGTAAAAAATATTGAATTTTTGCCTAGAAAAATGTAAAGTTTGAATCAACCAATGACGAATCTTTAATTAAGAATGGAATTTGGCTGATAAAACGTAAAATACTTATTCTTTGTTGAGTATTGAACAGGTTTTCGTTGTTTTTTTTTTTTTCATTGTTAATTAATTTTTTTATTAACTTTTATGTGATGATTGATTTGTGTGTGTTTTTTTAAGTCCCTGCTTGTCAAGTAAACTAGTCAAATTTTCTGTCTTTTCGCTTTGTCCTTGTTCAGTGAACGGCTATCGTTGTCCGGTGTTCCATATTGTTTAAATTCCAATCGGCCCGCTGCTGCAGAAACGCTCCTCCTCATTACCAAACAATGACCGTACTTGTGCAGCCTGATTGTGCCCGACCCGTCGAATTCAAACCTGTGCCACTGTTCTAATTGCCGAGGCTGTTCCATTAGGCCGTTTGTTGCACTGTGAATCCGTGCAAATTGCGTTATTTTCTCATTTTGCCGATTCTCCAAGGCCAGAAGCATTTGATGTCAGTATTATTCGCAGAGTACTTAAGAGAGAGACAAACAAAAATACTATGACTAAGAGAAAGAAAATATAATTAATTAATAAAAAGGTGTTGTGTGACTAATTTATAACTGGCAGTTTCTTACAATTGTTCAATTGCTTAAAAGGGAATTGTATTTATTGAAATGTTAAGTCAGGGCTGTTCCACAGTAGTCAAATAGTGATATTCATTTTCAGTTATATAACAAAAAACAAGATAATTTAAACATAAAATTAGGATTATTTTTTGTTGTTTTTTTGTTATTTTTTAAAATTTCTAGTTTGTAAAAAAAAGAAACGAACGAAACTCATGAAATTTCATAAGATGAGTTTGAACATGGGTGGGAAAGGTTCGGGTCACAGATTTGGTTTCAGGCGCTGAGAAACCATGACCGGACTCAAGTAAGTTCGCACATTTTTTTTAATTGGTTGTTTAATTTATTTTTTATTTTATTTTTATTTTTACTCCCTTGTTGACGTTGGAAAATGTGGAAAACAACGAGGCTCCAGACACCACGACTAGAAACTTTTCTTTGAGAAGTACAACTATATTGATTTACTCTTTCTTTTTCCTTCCATTACCTTTTATAAAGTTTCCCTCTGGAACTTTTCCGACTCTTTTCTTGTCATTAATCGATCTGGTGCCTCGTTGCTCTTTATTCCCGTTTATATAGAACGCTAGAAATGAGAAACTAATATAGAATAGAAAAGTTGATCGTTTTAATTCATTTATACAGTCGTAAAGAAATCATATTTTGATCTTTTGACTACTTTGGAAGTAGTGGTCTGTCCGTGAAAGCCTGGTACTCTTCTGTCACTTTATCCTTTTTTTTATATATTATATTTCGATTTTTATAGTTTGTTTTACATGAATGTTTTATAGATGACAGAATATTGTGATATATATTTATACTTTTTAATATAAAATATTTTTATTATACACATTTTACATATCATAGTTAGCAGAGTTAGGCCTTTGTAGTCTCTAAAAGAGAGTGAAAAATATATTGTTTATTTTTAACTAAATTTAGAACGAGACAAGACAATATTTATAGATTTAGTCAATTTTTCTACATTCGAGCCAAAACCGTGCCAACATTTTGTCAAGTCACAAAAAAAATTTAGTTTATAGTTGTTTTACTATTAGGTTTTAGTTATAGAATATGATTTCATTAGTAAAAAGGATAAGGGAAGAGTATTGTCTTTTTATAGAAGTAATAAAATAAGTAATTATATATGTAAATTGTTTAAAAATTAGAATAGGTAAAGTAGTTATGGTGTTTGTGAAAGCTTAAACTATAAAGAAACAATATTCTAATTTAAACTTAGTCATTTATCCAAAGTATTTAGAGGATTACACAAAAAACTATTATAAATATAATGTGCACTGTAAATATTTTAAGTGATGATCGAGAAAGATCTTTATTAAAAAAAATATATATGCATTTAGTTGATAACTACATTAGAACAATATACTCAGTATAAAAATATAGTACAAATAGTTTATTAAAAAAATTGTTTAAAAGAATATCAACTAAGTGTATGAACTTGGTGGTGTAAAAGTGGAAAGTAGAGGTAGAGGAAATATCACAATTGAAACAAGAAAAATTATTAATAAAATTTAACCTCTGACATGTTTTGTTTTTCAAGAGGCTGTGTATTGTGTGGTTGTGTGCGGGTGGACCACTGGTCTTTCCCAAGAGTAGTTTAGAATACCTAGAGACAAAAAAAAATATATTTAGATCCATATTAGTTTGTAGTGCCAACTCTACCCTCGCTTAGTTTTACCTTTTGTTTATTTTTACCTTAACTCCCGCACACCCACACCTTGCCGTCCGTCACAATCTTATGTAAGTCCCTTTTTTATTTTTTTTTCTCTCACGATTACTTTTGTTTTCGTTTTGTTTAGTTTGCCTACACTTGTTTTTTACTTTTTTTTGTTGTTGTTCACATCTAAACTCACTAAGCTTTTGAGACACCCAATTATGAAATTTCATGGAGTCCTTCCTTTATCTTTTTTGTTTTTGAGTTTTGATTTTATTTTTTTAATTTTTTTTTTCACTTCTTCAATTTTTTTGACTCACTTCTCCTTATCCAATCCATGTTCTAATTGCGCCTTCTTGTTCTGTTTAGATTTCATGTGGTCTTTGGGGGCCTTACCGGATGGTAAGTCACTAACCTAATTTTTTCCTTTCTAATTACTACTTTGAGCCGCATGGAGGCGATTAGCCACTCCTTCATTTTTTATTTTAACCCACTTCCCCTACACCTAATCCTTTTATTCCGAGTTTTTTGCTAAATCACAAAAAATGTGTTTTTATTTTAAATATTTTTTCTTTAGGTCAAGATAGCGGATGCCTGGATCGTTTATCGTCGTTCTGAACTTTAACCAATAATTTGCCGGAACTTATCTCATAATCGTTCAGAAAATGTTAAACAATGTTTTATGGAACTACATGGCAATTTACACATTCAGTCCCATCGATAAATCGTAAATAAAGTAAATTGTATAGCCGTTTTTTTCCAAGAAGAACCGTCGAACCCAAAACATGCCAGGATCACGATCCTGTTCTGAACCATGCAAAAAAGGTTTCATAGAATTACACGGCAATTTATACATTAAATCCAATCTATAAAACCTTATTTTACATTTGTTGTTTTTCCAAGAAGATTTAACACACCAGAAATTTGCCAGGATCGTGATTTCTTCCTCTGAAATTCTATGACAATGTTTCTAGCTATTATTCATCAGAATCCAATGTATTTTCATATATTAAACTCCAATATTAAATTAAAAACTCCAATACAATATTAAACCCTATGATAAAAAATTTACCCAGAATTTTCCTCTGAATCTTTTGAAAATATTTACATCAATACAAATTTCTCAAGATGTTTTTTTGTTGGCGTTTCTACTGATTCTTTCAAAAATGTTATGTTGGAAATATACAATCAATTGTTAAGATATATCTCCAAGGCGAAAAAAACCGTCGTTAAATTTATGGAATAATGGCAATATGTGCATTAAATTCCAAGTTTGGGGGCGTCGGTGGCCGCAACGGTTTAGGCGTTGACACGGCGCCCATCCCTGTAAGGTAAAGGTCCCGGGTTCGAATCCAGCGGCCCTGCATTCGAACCCGACATACTGACAAATGGGCTTTTTTTTTCAAAAACACCGGCACCCCGAGGGTTGATATAATCTCTGCTGTTGCGAACCCTCGTTAAAAAAAAAAAAAAAAAAAACTGATAAAGAAATTATGAAGTGTGTAGAGATTAGTGACCGTTAATCGATAGTTTTCAGATATCGTGAGATGCGGTCGGGAGTGATGTAGGTTTCAGAAAAACATTTTCTTCATCGTGCCAACGTTTCGATCTTTTATTGAGATCATCTTCAGGGCCTGGGATTTACAAACAATGTTTACATTTAACAAATACATTTAGGATGTGGATAAGTGAATTTATACAATGCAAAATATAGAAATACTTTGTTTGAATATAAAATATATTTTGCATTGTATAAATTCACTTATCCACATCCTAAATGTATTTGTTAAATGTAAACATTGTTTGTAAATCCCAGGCCCTGAAGATGATCTCAATAAAAGATCGAAACGTTGGCACGATGAAGAAAATGTTTTTCTGAAACCTACATCACTCCCGACCGCATCTCACGATATCTGAATAACTAACGAAATTATGAAGATTGAAAATACAATCATAAAAAATTTTCAGTGGTAAATTTGAAGTGATTTTCATGGCAGGCTTATATAAAGATCATTGGTGATACAGACATGAATCATGATTAATTTTTATAATAACCTTTGATCCTTTTGAATAGATTTTTATTTATTTATTTTTTTGTTAATCCAAAATTATAATTTTTTTTTGTTCCAAGGAGTGGCTGGTGGCCTTTTATGCAGACGGCATTTTCCAGCCGTTACTAATCTTTCCGAGTGTTTCAGGTTTCCCGGCTGCTGCGTACGCTGCATATGCGGCTGGTAGAGGGTACAGCGGCTACCCTAGCTTTGGGCTCCCCTACCCTACAGGTAATAGTCAGCATTCTCTGGCTCTCATGTATCCCCTGCCATTAGCACACCTCGACCCACTCTGCCTCCACGCCCTTCCCCTCTGAGCAGACAGTTCCAACAGCCTCTTTGACAATAACCATTAACAGCCATTAATTTCTATAGCCTTCCCCCCAGCCACGCTTCTAAAAAAATCGCGCCCGAGCGCACGTCCAAAATGCTTGAAACGTCCTCTATTTTTAAGTTGCTCAGCAATTTCTTAAAAAAAAAAAAAAAAAACGTTTTTAACATATCACACATATTTTAATATATGAATCTTTAATGGAAAATATAATAACAAAATTATTAACGTAATTCTAAAACTAAATGGAAAAAAATCGTGCTGATTCTGACTCATTGCTGACCCATAGCAACTAGCCCTCAGTTTCTCCCTATTATTAAAGGTAAATTTAGAATAAGGATTTTAGCATTTCGTAGCCGATAATTAAAATAAATAAATATAGGTTTAAAACATTAATCGTAAGTAGATTTCAAAATAAAATTAGAATGAAAGTAAATTGAGGAAAATAAAATTTTTGAATCTAGACAATTGAATAATTGTAAATTGTTAATCCGAAATTTTATCGAATCAGTTAGCGTATTGTAGTTGGGTAACATTGAGAGTAGAGATAGGAGGTTCAGGTTGAGCAATTTAGTTTGTTTTAGCCACCTAAATCAACAACATTAATTCGTGCCTATACAACTGTCAAACTGAATTTGAAAATAAATGAATATATTTTAAACTTGAATCAACAAATTTGCATTAAAATGAACGATTGCTTTTCTCTAAAAGTGACTTAAAAAAAAAAGACAAAGACAAATCAAATGTAAGCATTAACGTATTTTCTAATTTTGTATTTATCAGCGCTTTGATCCTAAAAGGCGGCGATGGAGAGGAACCATTTTATGGCTTTTTCAATTTTTTCTGTGATAATTATTTATAAACTCCTCCAGCTCAAAATTTAAAAATAATCTATATAAACTTAAGTATGTTCCTTTTTTATCAGAATTAATTTCTTTTTTCTTACTTTTCTTTATTTTAGAAGAGAACTATGTGCGGCGAAATCGGCACACAGAGTGATAATGTGTACCATTTGCAATTAATATATTTTAATTATTTATTATTTATTTATTCTTTCTTAGGAATTTATGGTCTTCGTTTTGTGTATTTCCATTACCTTCCATGAATTGTGACCTGTGATATAGTTTCGTTTCGCTCTTTTGCACGAATCAAAAGCGAAGGCGCTTGTTAATGTGTAAGGAGGAAATTTTTTGAAAATTTTGAAAATTCAACTGTTGTCGTACGGCGTCTCTCGGACATTTGGATCCACTGCTCGAAACCAAACGAAACCTACGAAGCCAATTAATTCATAGAGTACTAAAAAATAATTAAAATTCTTTAATTAATAAAAGTTAATTTTTTTGTTTATATTTATAAATTTCTTAAAATTTCTAAGATTAGAAAAGAAGAAAAATTTAGAGTTTAAATTTATTCAAAAATCAGTTTTGCTTCCCTCTGGCTCTTTGTTATAAAACGTTTTGTATGATTTTCTCTTTATTTTCCTTTAAAATCTCTTTACAAAGTTTTTCATAAAAAAAACAATTCTGTTTGAGAATCATATTGGTTTTTAAAAATTACTGTCAATTTCTCACGCTTCTATGAATGTTTTTTTTTTTATCAACGACACAATCCCAAACGATGTCATTTTACACCAGAATAATTTGTTTTTTGATCGGATTTTTTATATTTATTTTTAATAGGAAACCATAGAAACGTCCAAATTTTTTTGAGAAATGTCTATAAAATTGTTTCCGTTTTGAGCAGTGTGTTTTCATGTTCCGACCGCCGGTATAACTCGGAGTCTGTTGGAATGGTCTCGAGGAATCCTTACAATAGCGAGAAAGTTTAGTTTAAAAAAAAATTCCAGAATCCTTTAACCAACCAAATAAAAGCCCAGTAGTTACAAAAACCGAGCCTAAACTAGGGAAGCTAGATCTGTCTGTAAAAACAAAACCGATGGCAAGGCTTTTTCAAACCACAATAAATTCCAAATAAAATATGACATATTTAAAAAAAGACAGTGTACTCCGAGTGCGTGTTGTGTGTGAGAGGTTAAATATATAATAATTGTACATTGATGACTATGATAACTATTATAATAATCAAGAGATCCTTTAAAACCAGTTCCTTTGCTGGTGGATCGGCCCGGTTTGTCAATGGCCTTTTCACCCAAGACAAAAAGCTTTTTTTCTTCCATGTTTTAAGAAATGTATTAATGAATGGTAAACCTTCGTGTGTTGGTCGTTTTTAATTGTTAAAGTCGAGCAGATGCCTCAAGACATATCTTATATGTATACCCAGTGCAATACAAATGCTCTCTACTACCATCATGTATATTATAAATATATATATATTCAAATAATACACGTTGTTTCATGACAATCTCTTGGTTTATTTCGTCTTATTTACAGAATATCACTTCTCTCTCACACAACCAAATATTGACTCGTCCATTTTACTTGTATCCGCGTTGTTTAAAAAAAAAAAACGTCTTTTCCGAGTTGGAACATATTTAAAAAACAGCACTACCGAGGTAAGCCGAAAGTCCTTAGTAATTAATGGCCTCAAAAAAAAAAAGAGAGAGGATTAAACGCCCAAATTAAAACTTGTCCAATTATTGAAGTTGCGCCGGGTCAGAACTCCTTCTAAACTCGAGCAACATCCCCTGAGTGAGCTTTGGAAAGGAAGAGTCTGGAATTGCCTTAGTAGTGCTGAGCGGTCCTCTTTTCCCCCCCTTTCTTTCTGTTTTCTTGGATGCTAATCAAAATGGTTACTTGTACTTTGTTTGGGCAACAAACTTCATCCGGCGTACCAATGGTAATTCAATGCATTAACACTTGTCCTATATTCTAGGCTGGACTGTATACAGTTCGGTTCGCCCTCGAGAGAACGTTACTCCACGTTGCCTCGCCGGTAAGGCATAAACAAAATAGTATACCATAATTCTCTCCAAATAGAAATAGCTCATGTTGTTCCCAATAGTTAGAATTATACAAATTTAAAAAGAAAAATCCGATTATTTAAAGATCTTGAGATGTTTCAATTAACAATAAAAGACGCGATTTTTATTTTTTTTATAAATAAACTCAATTATACTTACAATTGTATATATAATTAAGTAGCATAGACTCTTAAAACGAAGTTAAAACCCATTCTGTTGCATGAATTAGATGTTGTTAGTGTAGGATGTAAATACTTATCTAGTTTATGCGCGGTTTAAATGGACGAGTCATTTGGTTGTTTTCCATTATTTTTCGATTATTTCTTCATTTTTTCATTATTTATTTCATTTCCCTTTTACACTTCATAATTGGTATAAAGTTTCACCTGGTGTAGATGATTCCGTCACCCCCTTGTAGACATCTTCTCATGTTAATGTTTGAGAGCACATTTTTTTATCATAGATACCATTTTTTTTTAACATAGCCCATAGCCATTGCTGAAAGTAGCTAGCAATTTGATATTTGGGAATAACGAATATCGTAGATTATTGTATTTTAACGGGGTTTGAAAGTATATATTCGAAGGACGAGTCGATTCTGTGGACTATCATTTAGAAAATTTGTTATATACATTTTTTAAAATTATCGACATAGATTCTGTTTACTTCGGGTTTGACCATCTATACTCAAAATTGTAGTACACAAGGAAAATAATATTTCTTTTGAATTTTTTGTATCTGACTATTACGTAATTTATCTTTTGATGAATACAATATTCTAAACTGACATCAGAGTATGCTATTTTTTCTTAATTTTGTAAAAAATGCCACAAAATGAACAAGTTAATGAACTGGTTAAAATTAATCAAAACCCTGGGATATTTTTAGCTGAATTATTGACTAAATTATTTTTTTAACAAAATTAAATTGAGAAAGTCTTCAGCAGCCATGAAATTAAGAAAATGAGAAGATGTGTATGAGGCGAAGACGAGTTCTTTCTGCTCCTTTTCTTCTTAAATGCTGATTTTCTTTGCTTAATTTTTTTTTAATTTTTCGTTACATCGGCATCCCTCAAAGTTCCTTAAGTAATCCACTGTTTTTCTTTTTAATTTTACAACCCTTATCTCGTTTTTCCCTTTAACGTATTTTTTTTCTTCTGTTTTCCTTTTTTATTTTTGTTTTAATATTAAAAAAAATAGAAAGACAAATCATACAGAGTTTGAAAATGTCGGTTGGGCTAAAAATGAAAACCCCGTCCGTCAGAGGAATGACCCTTCCCCCCAGAAGGAAGAAAAGAAGACCAGGAGGAACGGAGAGGCGCCTGAACTGGAAAAAGTTAGATTCATTTCAGTTTTTGGGCTAGTTTGAGACGTTTTTTTGCGAGAGAAGTCTAGTCGTAGTGTGCGCACTGGAGTAGAGGGCGCACCCAGTCATATGTGTACCGTAGTCAGAGATTTACGTCTAGAAAAATCCAAAAATGTTTTTACCTTAGATTTAGAAACACAGTTTATAGCCTTCGAATAGGTGTTTTATTAAATGTTTCGTTTTTTATTATTTTTATTATTTTGATTAAAATATAGTTTTAATGTGTTTTTTATTAAGTGGTAGTATACAATAAAAGATGAGTTTTATAGTCTAGATAAATAGTCTAGTGTGAGTGTGAGAGTTTTTGAAATTTTCTTCCGACAATCCCTCGTAAAAAATACACCCATGCCTTCGTTTAAAAATTCCCGATTTCCTTTGAAAACCCTTTACAGTTATAAAAATGCCAGTTGCTGATTTTATTTTAACATTTTAAATAGTAGTTTAGTTTACTTAAAATAATCTTATAATGTTTTATTTTTATGTTTATGTTTTAAATAAGACTAGTTTATAGATTTAGTTTAATCGTTATTTCATATAGTCACCAGTGATTTTAATATTTGTTTTAAGAAAAGGAGTTAAATTTATAGTCAAAAAGTGTAGACTTTTAGATAATTCCTAGTAGACGTAGTCAAACTGGAGTAAGCCACCAAAAGGCTTCCTCCCGTTTATTCTATATTTACAAATTACCAGGCGAGAGAGCCCGATTATTTGAAATGTAACTGATTACTGCTTGTTAGGGGTGAGATATTTCCGACGGGGGTGAGTAAAAAAGCGAAGGGATGCGGACACAAAAGTCGACACACAAACAAGGACAGACGAACCTCGAGCTCCGTCTAAACGGCGTTTTCTGAAGCGGATCGTTTAAAACCCTCCTACTACAATACACCCGGTTTGAATTTTAAATTTATAAAATATCGGAGGAGCATTACAATAGGTGACAGCCTGAGTCAGCGATACCTATCGATCCGGCTTTATAAAAGCGTCTCTCGGCGTTTAGCAATTTAAATAAATCCTCGGCCGGAGAAAGCATTATCGTTAATCTACCCTTTCATATAATTTTTATACGAGACTTTTTTTAATAAAAAAAAAGAAAATAAGAGAAACGGTCCGGAAACTCTTTGGGGCGTGACAGAAAATCGTATCACATATTACTGAATTATCTACCAAAATGTTATTTACCCTGACGTTTACTACCCTCTCGGTATTTAAAAAAAACCATGTTATTTTTTTCTTAAATAAACTGTATGTTAATAATACTATAAAAAACACTTGGTTGGACCTTCACTGCTTAAGGAGTAAGTAAAAATCAAGGCATGACATTTGTTCATTTTTATTTGTTGTTTTATATAGATTTTTGATTATTACACCAGTTTTTTAATGTTATTTCCCTCCAGATTGCATGGTTTTCATATTTTTCGGCGTTTTTTTTATACATATTTATTTTTTAATATGGATTTTTTATCACTGTTAGTTAAATAACATTGAAACAAGTATTATAGACTTGCATGCCCTTGCACAATACACAGACATACAAATACACCGTTGTGTTGCCAGCATCTCGAGTGTTTTACATTATATTTTTGACCGGGGTTCTTGAAAGGTAGGTCTTGTGTTTTCCATTTTTCAGGCCACGTCTGAGGCCGCCGGGCTTCTGGGCGTTTTTCGACCGTACTTGCGTTGTTGAATTTTCATCTCGTTTTTTCTTTTTTTTCCAACACGCGCATGTGTGCCTTTCAAGATGCGAATCATCACTCTTTCCTATTTTTATCGAAAGTCAGATAAATTCCCTGAATTATATGTACAATGTGATGTAACCCATTAAAAACCCGTCGTGCAATTCTTTCACGATTTTTTTTTTAAATTCCGTTGAGGATTATGTGAAATTTATACCTCCCCCCCATTTAAATTTTATAAATAACAGTTTTTTCGCAAGGCTAATTACAAGCTGTATTGTCTTCTTTGTTATTAGAATTCGTGCCAGGGAAAAAGAAAACATCTAATTTAATTATTAGCCTCCAACATGGTAATTATACAATCAATCAAGGCTTCCAGTTGACATAAAAAAGTCAGTGTCACGAGCGGGATTCGAACCCATGACCTTCGGCTTGATACTCCGCTACTCTACCACCCGAGCTATCATGGCCCTATCACTCACTTCAACTGGCACTAACTTCCCATCTCAACCCCACCTTTTTGAATTTTCCCTCCTATTTGCCATTTTTCAATAGCTCGCGTGGTAGAGTAGCGGCGTGTCAAGCCGAAGGTCGTGGGTTCGAGTCCCGTTCGTGACACTGACGTTTTTATCTCGACTGGAAGTCTTGATTGATTGAATAATATTAGTTGGTCAAGCGGACCACGAAAGATAGTGAATTTAATTATAATTATATGTTAAGAATAATCAGTTATGAGGCCAATTAGAAGTAAATTCACTCAACTCCTTCGTAGAGCTTTCTAAGAACGTAACCTGTAGACTTGAAAAACACGAGCATCTTTTCACAAATTTGAACCTATGGAATAGAAAACAATGGTCATTTTTGATCGTCTTGTATGATCTATTGTAGAATATATAACCATACCGTGGAAAGTATACATTTTCCTACAAAACCAAGCTCTTTCCTGAGTTTCATTTTTTAATCTATTCATTTGGCTTGATAAGAGTGGGATTGTGGCATATAGACATCAAAGGATGTCGTGATTACTTGGGATATAACCAGGGCCTAATTGTCACTGTTGTATGTAAATTTATATGCGGAAGGGAAATCCTTTGCCTGTTGATGAAAGATTTTTGTCCTTTGAAATTGTGATTTTTGTAGGGTGGCGTTGACTAAGGATTCCAACCTTTATTCACAGCAACCCGTGTAGGTCTACAGTGGAACCTCTACGATTATGACCATACTGTAAAAAAAACTGCGTTTTTCTCGATTCTTCTTTGTGCTGTTCTATTGGCGAGAGCCTAACCAAAGTGGCTAGTGCTTCGTATTGGCAAAGGATACATGTCGATGTCTTTGATTTCTCTTGGCAGAGTCGACAAGTTTCTACCCCTGTTTTGCCCATTTTCATTAGGTGTGCTTAAGAAGGCAGAAAAGAGGTAGAAGGCCTGTAATGAGGCCTTGAAAGATTTTAGTTAAACAGATTGTCATGTTAAAAATCTCTAGCTTCATCCGTACTGTTTTAGTCCAGTGCATGTGGTTTTATTTCCAATCCATTTTTCCAGGTTCAAATTTAGCACTTTTTATATAGTTGGTCAACCTGTTCACTTCTTGTATTCGTTGTATTTGCCATTCGTCATTAGTTATTAGTTTCACTAGTCATTAGCTATTCCCAGTCTAGTTGGGGGCTAAAAACATCCGCATTTAGGGCCTTTACTGCTCGAAAGTAAATCTGTTCTCCTCTCACATTCTTCTTTATCAACTGGATTAAGGATCAATTGGATTAAGCTTAGAAGATTGTTCGATCCTGTACAAGGGGTTTTGCTGGGGTGTAAATCGACTCTTTTACATTCTCCTTGTAATCTTTGAATCCACCATTGTGCTATTTTGAAACCTGTGGCTGCCGTCGATCTCTCTTACCTATGACAATATGGATGGATCTGTGAAAATTGAGTTTTCCAAGCAATCTCATTTTTTTAATGTCTCCAGAATTTCGTTAATGACTTCTTCATAGATGTGGTTTTATATCCTCAAATCTCTGGAGTGTGTGAGCAGACTATGAACAACTACATACACACAGTTTTGAATTTTATGGAATTGTATATGGTGCTGTATGAAATATATTTTTAACTTCATTGTACCTGGAACTGTTTTCTGTTTAATTGGCCTCATCTCTGGTTATTTCTTTATATATAATTTCTTTCCACTGATTTGATCAAACAGAATATCGAGAATTGATAGCTGTGAGGACGATCGCTCATCGATTGATCTGTTTGTGGATAATTTGTCGATTAAGTATCAACGCAAGGATGTTTTTCCCTTTTTCCTACTCAGATCCTCGAATCTTTTAGTAAAATCCGCGAAAATCCAAAACGTTTTGGTCCTGAAAGGAAAACATGGCCCTCGTCCCCGAAAGCCGTTCAATCAGTGGACATTTCAATATTTTCGCGGCGTCTCCCGCCCAAAACAAACAAAAAATCTGGGCTTTTCGAAATTTTAACCACCTGTTTGGAACAGGTTACCCGGGCTACAATTATTACGCCCCCAACTCGTCCTGCGGCGACAGGACCAGCAGCTTCTACGGTGAGTACCAGCCGAGCGGAAGGCAGGACTCGCCCCTGGGCCGCCACGAGCAGGGCTCCCGCAAGCTCCTCGTCAGGCACGACTTGTACCAACCGGAGGACCGGCTTAAAACCTACGTCACAGGTAGGAATGCATGCCTTTGCCTTTCTTTGATTTTTTCCTTTTTGTTCCTTTTTTGTTTTTGTATTTTGTTTGTGCATTTTCTCATCTAAGTCGTTTCGGAGAAGGTAGGTCATCATCCCATTGGACGTCGACGGTTAATGCAAAATGAAAAATCAGCTTATACGTACTGCCATGGAACCATGTATATCTTGATTTTTAAAGTGGGAATAAGACTTTATATAAACAACTTAGTTAAAACCCGCTGATATTTTTTCGCAAGGAGGTATTTCAATATTCTCAGTCGTTTTCTGGGCAGCAACTCAGGCTTCATAAACAATTAGATTTTCCTAATTGCAATCAAGGTTTGACTATAATCACTGTTTTCCAAATACGACAATTTCAGATCAAATTGCCTATATTTATGGCCATCATTGAAATGGCTTCAGGTTAAGGACTAGGACTAGGAATACGAGACTTCAGGTTGTAAGTACTAGGACTAGGATACGAGGCTTCAGGTTATAAGGATTAGGAAGACGAGTGATCCGTCTGTATTTGCTGTTAGCCACTGAAAATTATTTCTTTTGAATAGCAAAGTTTCAGATTTGTTCCAGACTGCATTTTTGAGATTTTCTAAAAAGAGTAATGAAGCCATATAAACCCCAATGCACTGTGAAGGCCGATAGGGTGCTCGGTATTTCGGCACCGTCCCTCTCACTCATTCACCACAAACGCAAAGCTAAATACATTCAAACTACAACGAAGCAATAATTATATACAATATTTGCAACTAGAGGTAAGAAAACACCTGCTTTTTCATTAAAAAACGTAACAGTGGACCTAGTAACCTCATCTTGCTCAAGGACTGTCTTTATAACGGGTGCCATGGCTGCTCGTTCCCTGTAAGGGGCAAGTCCTGGCACTCCTCGGCAAACTATGACACTCTGAGCGACCTTTCTCTGGGACACCTGTGCGGGTTTTGCCACAAAAGCCAAACGTGTGAGTACGACCCATTCCTTGCGTCTCAGACCATCGCGAAGTCGTGGCAGTTACACGCAAGAGCTTCTCGGACGTTCTTTTATTGTGTTCTTAACTGCTCATACAGCGTCACTGAACGGATTGCGGTGGTTTGACTGAAGGGCGAGATGTCCCAGTTTTCACCACCTCAGCATGTTCACTTCCCTCTAGCCCGACCTGACCCTGTAGCCAAAGGACTATAGGACGTATAGGATATAATTATTAGCTTTGATAGTCTTGGCTAGCTGCTCAGTTATATTTTCTGGGTTTAGTTTTTCGTTGTCCGTAGGTAGAAATGTTTCACTTGTTAGGATTCAAACTAACATGATACGTCCTGTAATTTTCTTGGAAGAACTTAAGGGTAGAAATGATAAATGATGGAGTGAGTGTGGTGTTCAATCCTTTTTAAAAAGATAGTTCCTACTCACAGTAAGTTGTTTTGCAACGATCCGAACGAAGTCCTTCAATCTGATGATGAGCTAAAAGGCTCGAAATCCGGATCGTTTCAAAACAACTTACTGTGAGTAGGAACTATCTTTTTAAAAAGGATTGAACTTAAGGGTATGTTCTGCATTTCTTTGTTTTGCATTCACTTCACAATATTTCAATGTCAATTATCTGTTTTATCTGATTTTCTATTGTAAGACGTACCAATCGTTTAGAAAATAAACTATCTTCCAAAAAAAGATAATGTTGCTTCAAATGGTTAATGAGTGAAAAAAGAGTTGAAATTAATAATACTCCATCCCCTATAGTAATAAAAATTGGTCAAAGTGATGAGTTTTTCTCTCTTGTCTTGCTGGAAGAGTCGTTACAATGTGGGTAGATTTAACCCATTGTTTTTCCCTCTTTTGTTTTCCAAACCGAAACCCTTTTCAGTTTTAAGACAGACGGGACAAAGGGTGAAAAAATACGTTGTTTTGTCTGAGACAATGCGCCCTAAACGGAATACCGAGCGTCGTTACCGTAGTTTGAACCGCTGAGCCGTTTGTGGCAGAAGCGAGACTATCGGAGACGACAAATTGTCCAGGGGACAGCGTAAAGCCGACAGTGAAAGAGCGTCCGTCGACCTGGTTACGGTTAAATGAATTGCGGGGAGACGACGACGTTAACTGCGTGCGGTAAGTAAATGCCCAGCCCTTTTCCGCAGATAGTTCCCCGGGATGCACAATGTACGGTCTTATTAACCTAAGTCTCCCACCCACCCCGGCGTATTTATTATGGAGATTTTAACCCCAAAGACACGGCAACACTTAAACAAGCGATTATTCAGCCGGTCTCAGGGGATTCAGCCGCCTCACACGGCCCTCCCTTAATTTTCCTTTGTTCCTTAAATACAATTTACGGAATAATGAACCCCTAACTCTACTTGGATTTGGGAACAAACTCAAGTTAGCTTTCTACCAGACAAAACCCCTAAACCCATCTTTTAGAAATTTAGGCTTTGATTTATGCAACCGAATACTGAGAGTATCGCATTACGTGGTCGGCCAAGAGAAATTGACATTCATGATTAATTATTCTTTGACTAAACGCTTACAATAACAGTCTCATTGACAAAATATTGAACTAGAAAAAAAAACTACAAAGAATGCTATACGGAATATATTGGTCTTGGATATCTGAGCATTAAAGGGTTATGGTGCTACTACTTAACAGGATCCGCATTACAGGGTCATCCTTTGACCTCAACTCCATCACCATTTTAGCGTTGTAGGCCGTTGTAGCCAATAGACATTTATGAGATAGGGTTATGTTGGTGATGATAAAACTCACATTTTGTCACATTTGGCCACTAACTAAAAACAACTACACATTATGACCCCCATAACCTCTCTGAAATGTTACGTAGTAATTTTGTACAAGCATTGATAGCCTATGGATTTTCACTGCTATTGGATTTGCCAGATACCCGATTGAGTTTCTCATATTGAAATAGTATTATAGTGCTTTAGACCGTTGTAGTCGTTAGGCATTTAATAGATAGCGTGTTGATGCCCTTAGCGGGTTCTTCATTGCAGGTCTTTTTGACCATTTACCCGACAAGCCTGTTAGATCTTCTTGATAAACCGTGTTCATTAGTAATGAATTTTCACGATTATGCTTGATTTGCGAGAGTCCTGACCAAGTTTCTCATTGCTAACCATTATTACAGCAGTCATTAGGCATTTAAGAGATGATGTAAAGTCACGCCAACCTCAATTCAACAACCACTATGAGGGACAAACGGTTCCGACAAGAACTTTAAATGTGAGAACTTACTTAGCCTTATGACTCACTTGTCCGTAGTCACTGACGTACGCAGTCGTTTCCAGACCAGCGTTTTGTTCATTTCTCATGGATTAGAAGAAATTTTTCTATTTTGCACTTAAACTTTCGTCGAACCGAACATGGATTTGGTTTTTGTTTCCTTAACGAAGTATTCATCCGCCGGAACGATAACACTTTCATTAACATAGCTCTCAAGATCGGTACCATAACTTTTTCTTAGCTTTTGCAGGACAGTTGATATGTTGAGTTGACTGTGTCTCTTCTTGAGCATATTCTGTGAATATACAAGTTAGAGCTATTCTTTTCTGTTCAGAATGGATTCCTCTTTCTCCTATTGGGTTATTGCTGCTAGTAGTCTTCTTGCTTGTCCCAGATCTGGTATACGCTCCCAGTATTTGTTGTGTTATGAAACCAGCCTTGCCCGACACAGTACTCACAATGACACCACTAGACGACGTTCATGATGATTGTCCTTTGTTAGAAGTTGGGATACTTTGATTTATCTATTTGACCAAAATTCTTTCTTTACGTTCAATGGTACAAATCCACAGAATGGTTGGTTATTAACTGTTAGGAGTGGTAAAGTTAATCTTGTGTGTTCTTGGTTCCATGGCTGTATGTGTACCAATAGATATCTTGTTTGTTTATTTTAAATGCTGGGACGGTTTACGAACGTCGGGTCAAATTTTCCCTTTGAGCCGACGGATCTGTTAAATTAGCGTCGCGTTTGTAAACAGCCGGTGGACCGCCGTCGGGCCCGGTCTAATTGTCCAAAGGTAGCGTCGCCGTGGGGTGGGGTTTCGGTGATTAGGAAGCTACCGTTTTGAGGTACCATCGGGTACAAAGGTACAATCTTAATGATGTAGACCGCGAGGCCCGCCCGTGGGCGAAACGAGATCTGACGGTTGTGATTAACCGACGAGGCCTCACAGCATGCCAAGTTTATCGAAAACAAATCGACCTCCGGAACCACTGCGCCATAACCTCATAAACTAACACGAATTTCTCATCACTAACAAGCAGTCTTTGTATGACCTAGCTCATTCATAGTCATTAATGGATATCATTTGATGCTCCCCTTTCTAATTGTATGTTTGTATGTAACAGTTGATCTGACTAACGGCCAGCTAACGCCAAACAATAACACGCCCCTGCTAACGCAAGCCTTATCAGGTAATACTAACAAATATATTATTTTCCTTACCTTTTAACTCTATTTTTATTTTTATGTGTTTGTGTTTTCATTATAATATCTCATATAAAAATGTTTCTTCTGTTGTCCACAATTAATTAAAATAGAAGAAACATTTTTTTTAAATTATGTTTATACTAATCATCCTTATTAATTTTATATCCATTAGCTTTGTCTGTCTATAATCGTGTCACTGACCTTTTCCAGCTTTAATAACAAGGCACGTAAATGTTGTATGTTGTGCATGGTGGAAGCGATGTTCCGTGATGTGTTGCGTTCAACAAGACGTAAATCGAACAAAACCGACTCAGATTTTTCCTCGTCGGATTTAACTCTTGGGCGTGACATGACGTTACATGTAAAGGATAAAAGCGGGTTTGCTGTTTTTCCGCCCGTTTCGGAAAAGCTTTTATTCTATATTTTGTTAGTTGAAATCAGAGTTCTCGAAATTCGACGTTCAGCAACGGCAGTTGGAACTAAAACAAAACATCGGAAAAACGACCCGGCGCGTTAACCCGTCGCCAAAAGGTTTTCACATAAATTCCCGATAATGTTTAATCTTTATCCCTTGACGTTTCGTTTGAAAACCGAGCCCGGGCGGAACGGAAGCCGGAGGGACGGGGTAGAAATGAGGAGATAAAATGTTTCGTTTGACCAGACGCCGCAATTCGAGTGAAACACACCCCTTTGAACTTTATTAGCAGAAAATCCGGTCTTAAAGTATAGGAACACTGCTGCCCCATCCCCGGATCCGAGATGAATCAAATGAATTTTCCTCCGATCCGTGTTCTCCCGCAAAAGCACGGTGAAATGACAATTTTCCAGACCGTTGCACATTCGGTGATTTTTTTTCTTTTAATCAACAAGAAACGATCCGAGTAACTACTAAAGTCCTCAATTATTTCAGAACAATTGAATTTTTTTAATTGCCAAAGTATAGACGCGATAATGATTATAAATAAATCCCTGATAATTTGGGGACCGTGAGATGCGGTCTGGTGTGACGTAGGTGTAAAAAAACATTTTCTTTATCGTGCCTACGTTTCGATCTTTATTGAGATCATCTTCGGGACTCAAAGTGTTTGTTTTCTTTGCAGATGTGTTATTCTTGTGTGTCGTGTTGAGAGTGCCCCACACACACAAGAAGACAAGAATGACACATCTACACAGAAAACAAACACTTAGAGCACTGAAGATGATATCAATAAAGTTCGAAACGTATGTGGTGTTTAGTGACCGTTAGTCAATGATTATTCGGAGATCGTGAGATGCGGTCTGGTGTGATGTAGGTTTTTTTCCATATCCTACATGTATTTGTTAAATTTAAACAATGTTTGTAAATCCCAGTCCCTGAAGATGATCTCAATGAAGATCGAAACGTAGAAAATGTTTTTCTAAAACCTACGTCACACCAGACCGCATCTCACGATCTCCAAATGATCATTAATAACGGTCACTAAATACCACACATAAATCACTGATTTTATGTTTGGAAATGTAGCTTTTTCAATGTACAGCTATTTGTGTAAAGTTTGTGAATTAAAACGGAAGTTTACATACCTCCTCTCCCCCAACTCAAAATTAAAAGAGTGAGTAAATTCGTTGATTAAATTAACACGGCATGCTAGTCTAAATTGTCCTCCATTAGTTAACGTGACGACAAATGTGACTAAAGGTAATCTTTTTTAGTAGGTTTTTTCTAGTATCTGAGCTTGAACTTCCCTTAATTCGCTTTCACCCGCTTAGATTGCGTGTTGGGTCTTATCTGGCCATTGTTTCATTCATTTCTCCTTCACCCACGCAGAGCACGCGAAGGGATTTTTAATGGTGGGCGGGATTAGTGAAGATCCTTTTTTTCCCCGGTCGAATAACCGCGTAGAAAACATGGAACCATATTACACAAGATGAGAAAGGGTTTACTTAATTAACGAATGTATAAATTAGAAACGGAAAGATGAGTTGGTAATTAGTTTTTCTCGTGGGTAAGCAGTGTCGGCGTAACTGGTTTGGCTGCATTTTAATATTGATGGCGACGGGGGAGACCCTCATACGGTGAGCGATGGGGAGAGTTATCTGTGCGTAATTAGCGGGGGCGGGACGACGGGCGTATGAACAATGTACGACCTGTGCAGGGCTTGCGTGGTCATCAGCTTCCCAAGAGATCTCATTACTCCTGGCAACGTACAAGCCCGCCCGGCCTCGCTCCGTCCCCCTCGCCCTCGGAATTTATTTACGCTAAGCCCTCAGGGGTAATGTATTACAAACCTCGGAGGTTGTTATAAATAAGAAATAATCGCAGTCCTTGCGGGCCGGGATTTGTTACTCGGCTCGGCCTACCGATAAATACAGCTCGTGGCGTACTCTCGCACCTTTTTCCCCTCGATAAACCTATGAATGAAATACCCCAATCTGGCCGCAAAATATTTTATTCCATCCGTGTCCAGACTTGTTAGCCCAGAACAAACTAAATTTTCTAGGTAGGAAAACACCCATTGTTTGCCTGTCCAGGGCCTCCCGATCATCGCCCGACAACCTCTGGTTTTATTTTTCTTAAAATAAACTCTAACCCGAAAATAACCATTTGTTCCGGATATTCTGGGTCGGTTTAAACGGACGCGAATTGCGATCTTCATGTTTTTGTTGTTTTTCACTGTCAAACCTGTAGCACAATAAAATACAGGTCAAATCGTTCGATTTCTCTATCCGATCATTAAAATTTTCCGTACATGTGTTTTCATACTGGGCGTTTACTAAATTTTCTGGAATATTTTGATAATTTTTTTTTTTCATAAACAAAAAGTCACGACGAAGCATGAAGTAACTTGGAAACTCACGTAGTAAAAATCTTTATTTATGACATTTACTCCTTGACTTGAACGCTTTAAAAATTCAAGTGCTATAAGCCACAAGTGTCTATCAAAACTTGTATTTATACTCCGCCCTTTTATAAATAAACCCTAAAAATTTTGTAACTGCTATATCGCTAACAAATGTCCCATTACAATATTAATATTTACGTTAAGATTCAATGTAAGCGGACACCATCTTAAAAAATTTAATTTTGAAAAATCTGATTTTGCAGGACACTTAAAAAACAGGTTTGGGCCTGGGATAAATGGAAATATCCATCAATATTCAATTATACACACTGGTAGAGATATTTTGAAGAATGAGAAAAATATACGCAAATTACGGCCTTGTTTGCATTCCAACCATACTTTGTCCCGTAAAATGACATCTGGTTGTTTTTAAGCCGAGTTCAACCGGAAGCAAATTAAAAGCAGGCCGAATCGTAAAGAGCCGCTCAATTTTGACTATCATTACAATTTTACTTGTTTTCCCTCCCTGTTTTACTAAATTTTCTGAATATTTTGATCCTAAATTTTTTTTCTTAAAAAAACTGTCACGACGAAGCATGAACTTGCAAACTCACGTCGTGAAAGTCTTTATTTATGAAATTTATACCTTGACTTGAAGGTTTTAAAAAATTTAAGTGCTATAAGCCACAAGCGTCTAGCAAAACTTTTATTTATGCTCAACCCTTTTGTAAACAAACTCTAAAAGTTTCGTAACCCTTAAGTCCTATTCAAATATTAATATTTACGTTGGGTTTCAATTTGACCGTACAACAGGTTGGGAATTAGTTTAATGTTGAAATATTGTGATTTTGCGGAGTACTTGAAAAACAAGGTTGGAACTGGGACAGCTGTAGATATCCAGCAATATACAATTACATAAAATAGCAGGATTTTTGGAGAATGTGAAATATTTGCGAATTACCACCTGTATTAATTTCCAACAATATTTTATCTTGTAAAATGATATCTGGTCGTTTTTAAGGCCTGTTTTTGCAGTCTTAAACCCGTAGCAAAATAAAATTCAGACCAAATCGTAATACAAGTGCTCGATTCTGTCTGTTCGGTCATTAAAATTTTCCATGTCTTCCCATTCTGGGCGTTTTACTAAATTTTCTGAATATTTTAATTTTTTTTATTATTAAAAAATGTCACGACGAAGTAACTTGCAAACTCACATAATAACAATTGGTTATCAAATTTATTATACCTCCTCTTTTTTTTCCCCCTTTTTTTTTTGTTTTAAACCCAAAAAATCTCTTCATATATTTTATAGCACCCTAATTTCCTACAAACGTCCTATTTAAATATTAATTGAAATTAAAGAGTTGGCATCTACTCAAGGTAGACATTTTACAATTAATTACAGTTGTATTGGGTTGTCCGGAAAATAATGCAGGATTTTGGTATTAAACAAAAAAAAAGAAACTAGTTACTTTAAAGCAATGTTCTTTAATCAAAATAATTTCCCATACTCTCAATACATTTCTCCCAACGTGTTGGTAACTTATTAATTCCGTCTGAGTAGAATTCAGAATTTTTAGAATTGATAAAGTCAATAAATGCATTTTCCAGTTCCGTTTGATTTTTGAATATTATGTGTTGTAAGTAGTGGTCCAGGTGTCTAAAAAAATGGTAGTCAGTAGGCGAGAGGTCCGGAGAGTAGGGTGGGTGAGGCAAAGTTTCATAGCCAAGCTCCAATAATTTTTGTGACGTTACACGTGACACATGTGGTCGAGCGTTGTCATGCAACAAAATGGGCCCTTTCCGATTGACCAAAGAGGGCTTCATTACTGCCAATTTCTGATGCATGGTATTAATTTGGTTACAGTATGATTCAGCATTGATGGTTTCGCCAGGATTTAAGAAGCTGTAGTGTATTAAACCAAATGAAGCCCACCATACCGTAACCATTACCTTTTTTTGATGAGTTGGGGGCTTTGGAAAATGTATTGGAGCTTCTCCTTTGTCGAGCCACTGTCCAGAACGTCTAGTGTTATCGTAGAGAATCCACTTTTCGTCACATGTAACAATTTTGGCCAGAAATGGGTCATTTTTGTTTCGACAAAGAAGTGATGCACAAACATCAAAGCGCTGATTTTTTTGGCGATCGTTTAATGAGTGTG